CCTATGCATTTCATTAATTGTGTAACTATTCTCTACGTTGCTGTTCCTACATTATATGATTATTACACGTCACTTGTTAACTACATAGTCCCACAACTCAAAATGCTATGACCACCAAAAGAATCATCTCAAATGTTAATGGAAAGATATTAAATGAATCTGCTTATTGATGGGTGGTATCCCAGGGGTGGAAGAATCACCTAGCATGGGTCGATCCCAATATTACGGGTGGTATCCCAGGGGTTAAAGGAAAGCCTAGCATGGGTTGATCCCGATTTATATGTCTACCACTGATCAGCTGGTCATTTGTATTATATGATGTGCACAGAGTGTAAAGTAAAGAATGATAAAGTAAAAAAAAGAATGTAAAGTACCTAATTCCATAATATGAGAAAATGTGGTCTTGTATCCTTACATTGGTATATGATTTCATTTGAGTTCTTATTTCACATACAGTACTTTATGCCTTACATACTCAGTACATTCTCTCGTACTGACGTCTCTCTCGGGGGACCTGCAATTCATGTTGCAGGTACAGGAGCAAGTAGATCTCCCCAGTAGGAGAATAGGACATCCAGCGGCTATTGGTGAGCTCCAGGTTGATTCGGGGCTTTCCGAGTCTATATCATGTATTTTGGTATTGTATGGTAGCTGAGTGTAAGGCGGGGCATGTCCTGACCTTAACCCCATAATGTTTTATCATTTAGAGGCTTTGTAGACTATGTATAGTGAAGTATGGTTGTGCCTCGTGTCTTAGACATCATGGTCCCAACGGCCAAGTCATGTGCACTTTCTTTTGGCTTGTTAATACTATCTACTTTCATGAAAACATGTTATCCACTATGGCAACACCTTTAAATGTTCATAGATAGAGCATGATTACAGGTTGGTCCTCCCGAGCCTCCTCGGCAACGGGTGACGGTTCACCTTAATGGGATTTTGGGCGTGACACCTATCCTTTTAAAAGAATTATCCAATTTAACTAATTAATTAAATTAGATAGGGCAAAACAGATTCGATCGAATTGGTCCACATGGGTGACTCACGACCCAAAACTTACCCTATATTACATCAATACTAAAAGGTTCACGCACGCATAAAAGAGTTGAATCTTTACATTATTTTCTTGTTGGTACAATTTGGATCATTGAGATACAAAAATAAAAAACAAATTAAAATATCTGAGAATACTTTCTCGTGAACTAAAAGAACTTTTTCCATGTGCCAACTCTCAACAGTACTGTACATATAACAAGCAATAACAACAATTTAATTATTTAAATTTATTAAAACAGAAAACAGTTCTGTTGGCACAAATTTTAATAAGAGGACAAGAACATATGTCCACTCGAAACATGAAATTACGTACTTACTGTTTTAGATTTTCTAATGTGGTGTTAAGGACCCATCCACATGATTATACGACTATATGTTGGAACTTTTATCTTGTAATTAGAAGTTTCAAATTTTAGTTTCGGAAATAAAACCTTAATAATTACGTGACATGTATTCAAATTACGTGATCATGTAGACATTTTGTACCTCAATTGATCAGATATTTAAATTTTAAACTTTACTATGATAATTTTTCATTAAAAACAAGTACACATATTGTAATTTGTAAAAATGTGTGTGCATGATTGAAGCTATAAATTTCAAAAAGTTGCCATCTTTTTCCAAAAGATATTTGACAAAATGCAACATACTAATGATTAAAGGGATTATTAAGCATACCAAATTAACGTGGCCCATTAATGATAGGTTTTAGCTTTTAGGGCATTTGACTTTTGTGTCAGATAAGCCGTCTCTCTCTTTTTCTTTGTTTCACGAGTGCCCATTAATTTGTGAATATAAGATGTTGTATGACATTGTTTATAGGGAAAAGACCTGATATACCTTCAACTTTTTCATTTAGAATTGATATGTCCCTTGTTATGAAAGTGACTCATATATATCTTTATCGTTATACAAATGGTTCATATATACCCCCTATCGTTACAAAATGAGCTCACATATACCTTTTATTTAACAGAAGTGAAAAAATTAGTTTTAAATTTATATTTTTGACTTTTAATTTTCTTAAAAATTATTTAGGGATATATATGATTCTTATAGCAAAGTTCAAGGTATATTTTAATCTTTTTCATACATAAATTATTTTTTGACTTCTTTGATTATAATTATTTGAGTTTCTTATTCTTATTTTATTTTTTTCTTTCATTCCTTAGTGTAAAAGAAAAAAATTTAAAACTATTTTTTGTGGCAATATTATAATTTAAAACTATTTTTTTTGTCTATATTGTAATTTAATTTTTGTATTTGAAGAAACAAATTTGGTCATCTATAATAAATTTTACAAGAATATTAGTGAAACATAAATAAATTTGACCATCAAAAAAATAAATCTAAATTAGTCATTGAAACAAAAAAAAAATCAACAAAAATATGTTTGAGGAGGATTAAATATACTCATATGGGATTATATATATATATATATATATATATATATATTTTTTTTTTATTTTTTTTTAAAAATAAAAAAATTAAACTAAAATTAATTTTTTTCATTTCCGTTAGAGGAAAAGGGTATATATGAACCATTTGTATATAAGTAGGGGTATCTATGAGTCACTTTCATAACGAGGAGTATATCAGCTCTAAATGACAAAGTTGAGGGGTATATCAGACCCTTTTCTGTTGTTTATATATGAAACTTTGGATCCTTTGGCAGTAAAAAATACATTATCTTTTTTTAATTATCTTTATTATTATTATTTGAAAATGAGTGTTGGACTATGAATATTTCAAATCTAACTTGAAATTGTATTTTAATTTAGAAAATAATTTATAACGCACTTCAATTCACGTTTCACTTTAAAGTTGTATCGAGATATATTTAGGCATAAACATTATCTCGAGTATTCTTTATAAAAATATATAATTAAATACAACATCATCTTCAACTCTGACTTCATGATAAATTCTAAATAAAGTGAAAAATATTTAGAATCTATAGTCAAACACCTACATAATTATATAGTTCGATTTGGGTGTATATATTACTCACTTTGTTTCAATTTGTTTGTTTGGTTTGACCAGACACAAAGTTTAAGTAAGTAAAAAAAAACTTTTGAATTTTGTGATCTTAAATTAAAGATATATAATAAATATCAAAATATTATTTGTACTTATAATCTTAAACATATCATGTGAGAAGTTGAAATTAAAAAGTTGCAAAAAATGATTTTTTAAACAGACTAAAAGAAATAAGACAAACAAACTGAAATTGTGAGGATCATAGTAAAATATTAAGTATCACAATTAAAAATTTATTCTGATTCAAAACTTGCGAAAGTTATACTGTAACTTGCTATAAAAGTAATTCACGGGAATTTTGCTTTTATGCGAATCAATTTAAAGTAATTTGTTAACGTAGAAATTAAGACGACTATTTACCATGGACTAGCTAAGTTTTACTTTGCTTGTTAATCTACTGTGACTCTAATTTTTTATCCTAACTTGAGACGGACAATATGAAGAAGCTAATTTAGATAACATTATAATTCATGACAGAGTCAAAAAATTTATGAAGTGAGTTTAAAATATGAAAATAACATATAAAGAAGTTGAATGTACTACTCAGAGTTGTATCTAGAATTTTGAGATGATGTGTGCACTATTACGAACAGGTGGATCTAAGATATAAAGTTGATCGCGATTTAAAATTTAGGTTCTTATCACTAAAAATAATTGAAATTTAAAAATTATAGATCCAAAATTATTTTTACCTATCCAAACCACTTAAAGAGACGTTATCCAATTTTAGAAAGGAAAATAAAATGAGAGAATAAAAAATTCAAATTTCTAACTTCACTTAGAGAGGTGCACCCAACCATATACCAATCGCATGGTATGATACTTCAACTATGAGTTCACATATCTATATTTAAATATATGATTTCAGGAGGGGAACATGAGTTCACGTGAATCCGATGACCCCCTCCTGAATACGCCTCTAATGTACGTAGTGTTGAGTTTTAAAAGGTGTGAATGGAAAATGAAGAGTTGCGACTTTTATGAAACGTTGTGACTTTTATGAAAAATTGTGACTTTTATGAAAAGTTGTGACATTTATGAAAGGTTGTGACATTTCCGAAGGACTGTGACTTTTCCAAAGGTTTGTGACATTTCCGGTAAGGCACAATAAGAACATTTTCACACTACCCTTTGTTTTTTATAAATTGAGAGATTTCCTCTCATTTTAAGAGAATGATTTTTCTTGACTTCTTCTACGACTACTAAATCTAGTATTCTAAGTGTACTTTACTGCCGTTGAGTGGTTCGCTGACACCGTGGTTTTAGGTATCGATACACCGATGAATAAGATCGTTTTATCCTAGGAGGATATATTCCATTAACCTCGGGTACTTGAGGGGAATAATTTCCTTAAGGGGACATTGTGCATTCAGTGGGCTCGATTTTCTTCTTAAAGAAAAATATTTTGTATATTGTTTCTAATTTATTTCTGGTTCTATTTTCTCTACTAGTTTAATTTTCTAGTTTTGAAAATACTCTTTAAACTTTGTTGTTTCTTATCAAGTTCTTCAAAGTTTTTGCTCTAAGTATCTTAGGAATACAAGATGAACAACACGTAGTTCAAAAATTCCAATAAACCCCTCTGCCCTGCCTTGTTCCAACCTTGTCATTAACTCATAGTTGTATACACTAGTTACGGTTGCTGATAGCGTAAAAAATTTATTTTAATACCAACAGAAATATACCTTTCTTGAGTGTTTAATATGCGTCTCACCCGACAAGAAATCACGCGCATTCTTTATGGGTTATAGAACTTGACAAACTTGGCTAACTAATACATGTGCTACCTCCCACACTGCATTTATATCAAGCTCAATTCACCACCATACAACAACAGTATATCTCATCTACTACTCCCACTTTTTTTTTTTTTGTCATTCAACTACTCTTCAATAATTTTTACAATGAGGCAAAATCTCCAGATTGTTGTTCTCACATTTATCGTCATAGTATTATCGTCGTTGCAATCCAATTGCAGAGAGCTTCGTCCGGCGGAGCACGGGCTAACGACGACGGAGAATCAAAACTCAGATTCCACTACAACGACTACAAACGATGAGGTTCCGGAGATGATGTCGTTCTTCGGCGGTAATGACGGCCGGCGGAATACTCAGCCGCCGGTAGCAAAGCCGATTGCGGAGAACGTGACGTGGATCGGCGGAGAGAGAGGAGGAATGGCAGTTCATCACAACAGCAGAGATCATGTGAGGGATGTGTTGTTGATTTCCAGTTTGGTTTGTGGAGCTACCGGCGTCGTTTTGCTTGCCGTTTCAGTGTTTGTTTGCGTCGTTTTGAGGTTCAGAAAGGAAAAATCAGTGGAAAAAGGAAAAGAAACGACGTCGTTGGCTACGCCAGTAGATAACGTTGTTCTCGCCCAGAAAGGAACGTAACTACAGTGCTTCGACAAAAGAGAAATTGCTCGGATGCTAAACATTTTCACCTATAATCGTTATGAATCCGAGTGAGCAAAAAGATGAAAGCAAGAGTAAAAAAAAAACTACAGTGGTTCATTTTCAATGTTTTTGTAGTACCTTTTTAATATTCTTCTTTCTTTTTGTTATTCTGTATGTATAGCTGGAGTATATATTTACCAATTTTTTCTTTTGTTTTTCACTTTTATGCATCATATAAAAAATATTTATACAATTAAATCACAAGTGGTAGACATTAACAATAAGGTGATAAAAATGGTAGGCAATCTGTCATAATTCTACCAGAATTTAAAGGCCAGCGCAAATTCAATTTGGAGAATTTAATGAACGAAATTATGTATATATTGTCCCAATTTACTTGACAACTTTTTAGTCCATTTTATAAAGAACAATTGGAACATGAAAATGTGATTAAATTGGTTCTACTCACTCTTTGAGGCGGAATGGAAGAAGGGAAGGAGGTCTATGCAAGTTCTTCCCTTCTGAGTCAGATAATAAGAGTAGATTGATAATAAGTTCTTTCAAAATCGACTATTTGCCCCTTAAGTTAAACATATCCTAAAAATGTGTTTCTTTCATATTTGACAATTACTAAATTGCACTATTCTCATTTTATCATTATCATTACTGGTCTCGCTTAATACTTTATTATTAAGAAAAAATAACTAAAAAAAAAAAAACTAAAGTAACTTTCCCTTCTTTCTTGATTCACTTTAAGAAAAATGGCTATTTTGCAACAAAAATTGGCAAAAGTTGCCCACAAAAGATTTCTTGTGGCGACATAACGGTTGTTGGAATTAAGCCCATTACAAAGGTTTTTTGTAGTGACATCAGACCTGTGAGCCTAAAAACGTCGGTTATCAGACTATTACAAACTTGAACGGGAAACATAAAATATATTAACTATAACAAGTGCGGAGCAAGCTCTTAATTTCATAACAAATCTTTGTCTTTGTCGCTCTTCATTACTTGGAAAAGTAGGCTCATTTGTCTTCTTATCTACATCTAATAGCCTAAACTCTAACCCATCAATTTACGTTCTCTCTTCTATTGCAATATATTATAAAGTACTCACCTAAGAATATTTTCAAATGAAGTCGCCACTTGAAATAATACATCCAATGGCGAGTGATATCGCACCAAATGACTGTCAGTGTTCTTACAAACAAATATAAGTTCATTTTAGTACGTACTTTACTACACTATATACTTTAGTACGAAAGTAAAATAATTTCGACAAGAAAATATTATCCTAAAAAAATCAACTTATATTTTTTAGTAATCGAGTAAAGAGTAATATTCTAAGAATCTATCATATTTATTTGTATAGTTATTTGACACATCTTGTTTTTCAAAAAACATATCTACATATCATTTCTTTGGGGTGGGGTTGTGGATCTGAACAAAATCTATAAAATGGAAAAGAAAATCCCATGCTTAAGTGGAAGACGGGGGGTGGGTTCTCCTATTTTCATTTGTCTTATAATTAATTAATTATATTCTACTTATATATAAGAGTGAGTTTATGATGGGACATTTGAATGTCCCATCATAAACTCCCTATATAATACATGATATAATATTCTACTTATAAATCATTTTTTCTACTATATAATATATATAATATATATTTATTTTCTAAGGGAGTTTATATAATATATAATATAATATAATATAATATAATATAATAAATCATTTACAAATGACTTAAAATATTTAATATTTAAAATTCTACCATAAAATAGGTTAACTCTCAAAATTCTATCCGGGTCACATATATTGAGACAGAAAAAATAACATATATCATTTTAAAATTACCAAAAAAGTATTAAAAATAATAATAATTAACAACTTCAAATATCTGGAAGACATTTTAAAAGGGTTAATTTTGTAATTTTATCCATATCACATAAATTAGGAAGTTATTTGAAAGTTACATAAAAATATTATAAATAACAATAATTAATAACTTAAAAAAAATATATTTAAAAAAGTGCAAATTTGGATGACTCTTCAAATTTCATTTGTGTCACATAAATTGAGAAAACAAAAATAGCATATATTGCGTCCATTTTAATTTATTTGTCTTAATTTTTTTTTATATTTACAAATTGCGTAAAAATACTATAAATCATGATAATTGACAACATAAAATATGTTTTGAAAAAGATACAAAAAAAGCCACTAATTCTTCAAGTTAATCTATCGTAAAAATACTATAAATCATGATAATTGACAACATAAAATATTTTAAAAAAATATACATATAAAATATTTCGATTGATTCTTGAAATTAATCTATCGTTAAAATTTATGTATAAAATACAATAAATCGTAATAATTGACAACTTAAAATATTTATTAAAAATGCACAAAAAAAGAAATTGACTGATTCTTAAAATTAATCTATCAATGTCACATAAAATGAGACAAAAGTAGTAATATGTATTATTTAATGTCAAATTACTGAAAACTACGTAAAATGTATTGTAAATATTAACAATTAACAACATTTGATTAACTCTTGAAATTTATCTATGCTACATACATTGAGACAAGTGGAGTAATATATATTAAGTATTTACAAATTACGTAAAAATATTATAAATTACATTATTAACAACTTAAAATATTTAAAAATCATATTAAATTTAAATAACTCACTATATTTTATATGTGTCACATACATTAGGACAAAAAATAATAGTTATTGGGCCCGTGCGTAAGAGAGTTTATGCCCAAGTATAATATATAATATTCAATGACTCTCCAAATTTCATTTGTGTCACATAAATTGAGACAACAAAAATAATATATATTGGGTCCATTTTAATTTATTTGTCTTATTTTTTAAAAAAATTTATATTTAAAAATTGCGTAAAAATACTATAAATCATGATAATTGACAACATAAAATATGTTTTGAAAAAGATACAAAAAATTCCATTGATTCTTGAAGTTAATCTATCGTAAAAATACTATAAATCATGATAATTGACAACATAAAATATTTCAAAAATAAATACATTTAAAAAAATTCTAGTGATTCTTGAAATTAATCTATCGTTAAAAATTATGTATAAAATATAATTAATCGTGATAATTGACAACTTAAAATATTTATTAAAAAACTGGAAAAAAAAATTGACTGATTCTTAAAATTAAATCGTGATAATTGACAACATAAAATTGTTCAAAAATGTTGTATGTGGGTAGTCTTATTGTGCCTTGAATAGCGTCAAAGAAAGTACAGGTTTGTGATAAAAAAACTTATTCCTTTATCCACGCAAACAATTGCTTCAAAAACTTCGGTATTAGCCCTGAAACATACCATTTATGTTATTGGGCCCGTGCATAGCACGGGCAACAAAATCTAGTTATTATATATAACTCAAAGTCTTTTGTTTTTTATTTTAAAAAAAACTACCATATGTATACATTATTTAATTAGGAGCTCAAAAGTAATTGTAAAATTAATAATCACATTACTGATAGCTTTCCTGGTAGGTCAACTTGAGAATGAATTGAATGGAATTATAAACATAATTTTACATCCTTATAATGCTCGTCTATATAATATTTATTGGTGGTTAAAATTACGATCGAATTGTAAATAGTAAATTAATAGGTATAATAACTTTCTAGATTGTTTATCCATGACAAAGAAAACGATCTTGAACTTTTTGAAAAATCGGTTGATTGACGATAAATTTTGAGTATATTTTTGCAGGATATACAGTAATTTATGAATTTTTGAAATATGAAAGATTATAGAAATATAAAAATATTAAGTTTTCAATAAAAAAGTAATAAAATATTTTTATTAAAGAATATTATATGTCTAGCCGACACAATTCCTTGTGCTGAATGTACTATGTATATGGCCAAAAATTGTATTAAAAAAAATATAAATTGAAATTTGTGTTTATTCTTCTTTTTACCGGAAGATTATGTATATATATATACTTGTTGATCCTTTAACTAAAATCACTTAGGTGTGTTTGGTACGAAGGAAAATGTTTTTCTAGAAAATGTTTTTTGGAAAATAAAAGAATTTTAACTTAATTTTTCATGTTTGGTTGGTGAGTAGAAAATATTTTTTAATTTTTGGTTGGTGAATGAAAAATATTTTTCAGAAAATATCTTTTATTTTTGGCTTGAAACTAAAAAAATACTCTATGATTTGAAAATCAACACCGATAATTGATCTAAGACCCGGCCCCGACACCAAACTAGGACAAGATCCTGATGACCGTTCCAAAATCCGACCCTGAGATATGACCCAAGACCTGGCCAATTTTATTTTTTTTCAAAAACAATCTTTGTAAGAATTTTTTTTATAGGGTCACGGGGGGGTTAAAAAAAATTAAAATATTTTTCAAAAGCAATTTTTTTTGATGGGAATGGCCTGGGAGGGAGGGATAAGGGTTGGCGTAAAAAATTTGAAATACTTCTCAAAAATATTTTGAAAAAAAAAATTGATAGGGGTGGGGGGTAGGTAGGGGTTGGGTAAGGTAAAAAAAAATCTTAAAATTTGAAATATTTTCAAAAATAATTTTTAATTTTTTTATTGTTTGATTTGGGGGTGGTTTGGGGGTAGGGATAAAAATATATTTGAAATTTTAAAAATAAGAAAATGTAAAACTTTTAATTTTATTTTGTGAATGGGAAGGGTGTACGGGGTATGGGTAGGGTAAGAAAAAAATTAAAGGAAGTAGAGTTTTGGAAAATGTTTTTATTATTTTTGGAAGCAAAATCATTTTTCTTAAATTTGAGGAAAATGAGTTAATTTGGAAAACATTTTCCAAACATTTTAAGCCAACCAAACATGAAAAAATTGGAAAACCTCCGTCCCAAACACACCCTTAATGGAGCAGATTTTGCTTCTGATTTTTGAGAATCTTCAATTTTGAATTTAATTTCAACTATTTTATAGTTCAGAAAGAAGCATTTAGGATTGCATTGACCCTCAT